CCTATCAAGTTTTTTGTATAAGTTGTGGCAATTAAGGAAACATAGTCATAATTTTCCCTTCAAGTGTCTCATAATGTGCTTCGTCTTCTTTTGTCTTAGTTAGTTATGACATTTGGGGACCAAGTCGTGTTATGTCAAACTTAGGATTTCATTTGGGGTTATGTCTCATAATGTACAAACTTTGAGCAGTGATAATGCTTGTGAGTATCCTTTTCAATTAGGGTGTCAGTATAACTCAAATGTCAAAGTTCATAATGATGCTTAACATGAGGTTATTTGGAATATCCTTCTCATTCTTTTATGTTTTCTCGTGACATTTTTCATTAAACCTCATGTAGTGATACACCTCAACAAAATAGGATGGTTAAGCACAATAATAGATATCTTGTTGAAACAACTCACAATTTTAATCCATGGTGAGGTTTTTTAATAAATCTAGAGTGATGTTATTCTTAGTGAGTATTATCTTATTAATCGCATGTCATATTCTATTTTACATAGTAAAATTCATCATTCTAGTTTATTTTCTCATTAACCTCTTTATCCCTTACCATTTAGAGTCTTTGGGTCTACATGTTATGTTCACAATTTTGGTCTTAGTCTTTATAAATTATATGATAGTTTTCACAAATATGTCTTTTTAGGATTCATTGGATAAAAAAAAGGTCTAAATTCATTGCACCTTGTTCTTTGTTTTCCAGTTCTGGATTGAATCAGTTTTGCTACATTGAATTCGTTTTTCTAGGTTAAGTTTCATTTTCTAGGTTCTGTTCAATTTGGAATTCCAATTCTGTTTGCACTGCTTGACAATGAATTCAATTTCGTTTTGGTGTTTTAATTTCAATTCAATGGCAATTTAATTGTTCTGGGTTGGTAATTGGTCAAACTGCATTATCTCCATGAGATTAATTTGTTGTCATTGTGCTCCTGACCTTGCATAGTATTAATCTGTTTTGGGCTTTTCAAATTAGGTATACGCTTATTTACGTAATTCGTGTGTGCAGAATTGATTAATCGTTGCAATCGCGTTTGCTTAATTTGTGGTTATGAAAACCCAATTAATCATCGCTTAGTTGGTTGATTGGTGTTGGATTAGGGTGAAGAGAGCGAGTATAATTAATTTTAATCAGGGATTGAAATCATTGCTAGGAATCCAATAACCAACCTGTCATAATCATTGTTTTAATTCGAGTCTTTGTTAGTTAGTAAAACTATCCACATAACCACCACCCACCACGTGTTCAACCTAATTCTTAAACCACATTTGGTCCTTGAGGGACGACTTAGGAGTCATTCTCCTAGTATACTGCACTTTAATTGCATATTAATTTGATTCATGAACGACCTCGATCAAAGAGTTATTGTCTAAGGACTTGTAACCAATATTTTGATTGTAAATTTTGAAGAGAATTAAATCACTTTNATAGAAATGACAGAAAGGAAGATGATGGGGAGGCTTCTCAAGACAGACGAGCAGGAATATACGATGGTTTTAGTGAAACACAGACAGAATCTCAGGTTATATTTTGGACCTTGGCTACTGCTTTTACTCTTCAATTTTTTTCAAGTACTTTGTCTTGTTTGTGACTTCTTTTTTGTTTAAACATTTATTGTTACATATACCAGTCTCTCCCTGGAACAAGAATTGGTTACCTTTTGCACTTGCTACTTACTAATGACTATTTGAGTGCAATTGGTGAATCTCATTTACTTTTGTAAAATGCAGGTTGTTAGTTATGAAGAAGATTTGTCAGGAAGGCAAAGCCTTATAGATAAATACCGAACTCGAAGTAGCACGCAGTGAATAGGAACAAGAATCTGTCTTGACCTGGTTTCAAAACATAAAGATAAAAGAAGAAAACTCAACCTTGGTCAGCTAACGAAGGGAACATCAGCACATCAGCAGCTTAGTATAGGTCAATCAATTATGTCTGTTTTATTATCTCTTTCTCATCTCCAAAATAAAAATTCATCTCCATATTCATAGCAACAAATAAGATTTTTATCTGATTCTTCCCTACCCGTTAAAGGGTATAATTATACCCTGGTTTGTACTTTATTTTTTTATTTTTTTAATGTCAATTAATTAAATTTTTATAAAAAATTAAAATCACAGCAAAAGAAACATAATATTTACTAAATATTTATTATATAATGCACGTTTTTTTTTCTTCAAAGTTTAAATATTTGAAAAAAAATTATAATTGTATATAAATTTTAAATTAGAATATCAAATAACAATCCTGTTAAAATGAAATAATTATGTAAAATATTATACAATTATACAAAAATAAAAATTTTATGACAATTCAAATCTTTATTTTCTTTTTCTAAATTCTAAGTAATTTTTTTTATATACTAATAAAAATTATAATATATCTTTTTAATAAAATTGTACATAGAAGAAAAATTAAATTAATAATTTGAATTTAGACAAATGTTTTATCTTTTAAATTTTAATCTATATATGATGTTGATAAATAAGATTCATGATTATGATTATTATATTATAATAAATAAAATGTTTTTATATAATTGTACTTGTCACTGTTGTCACTTTCTCTTGTGAGTCGTGGTCATGGTCCAACAACTTGTTTGACAGATACTATTATCGTTCGACTTGTCTTGTCACATTCTTTCCATATCTATAACTTTTGTAACGATGGGTGTTCATAGAAATTTTTTTTTCATTATTTTTAGGGTTGTTTCCTCCTTCCTATAGTTATTTTCTCTTTTTAAGTATCTATGGTATCTTTTTGTTGCTATTTGTATGTCATTTGATCTTTTGATATAGCTTATTACATTTAAATGGCATGAAAATCATCATAACTTTCGATCCATTGTTTCTGATTCACACATGCAACTTTTGTTGGTAGTACTTACTTTAACTCTCATGTCCATTAGGTTTTGGACTCGGGTGTCAAAAATAATATTACAAGTAATAAATCTTTTTTCCATTCTCTACCTATCTTGGGTTACTTAGCTTTTATTATCATGGTCAACAAATCTAGAGTTTCTTGACATGATGTTGATATTATTCATCTTCTTCCTTCTCTATCAATGATAATGTTCTTTATGTCCTTAGATCTTCATTTAACTTAATACCCCTTAGTCATCTCACTCATTCTTTTGATTGTATTACCTCCTTTACCAAAGATTATGTCTATTTACAGGACCATAGTTTGGAACAAATAATTAGCATTGAATATGAGTCTCATGGTCTTTATCATCTATGAACATCTACATATATTGATTCAATAATGGAATCTTCATCTCTTATTCATCTTAGTTAGGTCATTCTAACCTTGTCAGAATATAGCAACTTGTTTGAAGTTTTTATCTAACCTATCAAGTTTTTTGTATAAGTTGTGGCAATTAAGGAAACATAGTCATAATTTTCCCTTCAAGTGTCTCATAATGTGCTTCGTCTTCTTTTGTCTTAGTTAGTTATGACATTTGGGGACCAAGTCGTGTTATGTCAAACTTAGGATTTCATTTGGGGTTATGTCTCATAATGTACAAACTTTGAGCAGTGATAATGCTTGTGAGTATCCTTTTCAATTAGGGTGTCAGTATAACTCAAATGTCAAAGTTCATAATGATGCTTAACATGAGGTTATTTGGAATATCCTTCTCATTCTTTTATGTTTTCTCGTGACATTTTTCATTAAACCTCATGTAGTGATACACCTCAACAAAATAGGATGGTTAAGCACAATAATAGATATCTTGTTGAAACAACTCACAATTTTAATCCATGGTGAGGTTTTTTAATAAATCTAGAGTGATGTTATTCTTAGTGAGTATTATCTTATTAATCGCATGTCATATTCTATTTTACATAGTAAAATTCATCATTCTAGTTTATTTTCTCATTAACCTCTTTATCCCTTACCATTTAGAGTCTTTGGGTCTACATGTTATATTCACAATTTTGGTCTTAGTCTTTATAAATTATATGATAGGTTGCACAAATATGTCTTTTTAGGATTCATTGGATAAAAAAAGGTATAAATTCATCGCACCTTGTTCTTTGTTTTCCAGTTCTGGATTGAATCAGTTTTGCTACATTGAATTCGTTTTTCTAGGTTAAGTTTCATTTTCTAGGTTCTGTTCAGTTTGGAATTCCAATTATGTTTGCACTTCTTAACCATGAATTCAATTTCGTTTTGGTGTTTTAATTTCAATTCAATGGCAATTTAATTGTTCTGGGTTGGTAATTGGTCAAACTGCATTATCTCCATGAGATTAATTTGTTGTCATTGTGCTCCTGACCTTGCATAGTATTAATCTGTTTTGGGCTTTTCAAATTAGGTATACGCTTATTTACGTAATTCGTGTGTGCAGAATTGATTAATTGTTGCAATCGCGTTTGCTTAATTTGTGGTTATGAAAACCCAATTAATCTTCGCTTAGCTGGTTGATTGGTGTTGGATTAGGGTGAAGAGAGCGTGTATAATTATTTTTAATCAGGGATTGAAATCATTGCTAGGAATCCAATAACCAACCTGTCATAATCATTGTTTTAATTCGAGTCTTTGTTAGTTAGTAAAACTATCCACATAACCACCTCCCACCACGTGTTCAACCTAATTCTTAAACCACATTTGGTCCTTGAGGGACGACTTAGGAGTCATTCTCCTAGTATACTGCACTTTAATTGCATATTAATTTGATTCATGAACGACCTCGATCAAAGAGTTATTGTCTAAGGACTTGTAACCAATATTTTGATTGTAAATTTTGAAGAGAATTAAATCACTTTACGTTTAACTTTGAGAAGCTAAACAGTAGCTAGACAAGTGTGTCAGTTGAAACCAAGAGTGGGTGAAACTTTGACGTTTAACTTGGTGGAGTTAAACAGTAGGCAGACAAGTGTGTCTAATGGAAACTAGGAGTAGGTGAAACTCAACTAGACAAGTGTATCTAGAGGATACTGGGAGTGTCTAGGGATACCAATAGTGGGTGAAACTTAGTCAAGGTTACAGTAACAATGGCTACTAAGTTTACAACGACAACCAAGAGTGGGTTAAACTCAACTAGACAATGTATCTACAGGATATTGGAAGTGTCTAAGGATACCAAGAATGGTGAAGAATATTTCACAACCAAGAGTGGGTGAAACTTAATCATGGTCACAATAATAGTGGTTACTAGCTTGACAACGAGAATCAGGAATTGGTTAAATTCAACTAGACAATGTATCTAGAGGATACTGGGAGTGTCTAGGGATACCAGGAGTAGTAAAGAATACTGCACAACTAGGAGTAGGTGAAACTCAGTCATAGTCACAGTAACGGTGGTTACTGGGTTGACAACGAAAACCAACAATGAGTTAAACTCAACTAGATAGTGTATTTGAAGGATACCATAATCGTCTAATGATTGTTGATGTAGCTAAAATTAAAGTTTGAATTGTAATTTTGAAAAAGAAAGAAAGGGATAAAGTGTAAATAGAGGAAATTTCTGGGTTTTCCTACAACTTTGGAAAATTAAGAAGGGCATAAATGAAATTTAGGAGACAATTCAATTGATATTTTAAAGATAATTAATTAAATCTAGAAATATCAACAAAAAAGATCTTTTAAATATTTTTATAATTATTTTAATCTTTTAATTATTTGGAATATATAAGATAAAAGATCTTATCAACAGAATATTCAGAGTTCAAGTCCAATCAAACCCTATATAAAGAGACCCAAAAGAGACAAAAATAAGTACTCATTCATTCTTTCAGACTCCTCTACTGGAAGCAATCATCCACTACTCCTCTCACTTTTATTTTACCATATATTGTACTTCATTCATAAAGGGCTAAGCTTCTAGGGCTATTCAAATGTAATTTCATTATGGATTCTAAGGTTAAGTTGAATAAATGTATTAGTTTCTTTTGATTATTGATTTGAGTTATTCTTCTTCTATGTCTTTCATCTTTCAATCAGATTAGAAGTAATGATTTTTGCATCATAAGGTGCTTGAATTTACATGCATATTAATCATATGAGTTCAAGGGTTTCTAGGTTTGATTGAGAATTTACTTTGATTAAATTTAGGAACTTTCATATGATTAAACGTGTTTTTGCTACTAATTGAGAATGTACTTTGATTAATAGTAAGAATTTCAACTTATTTAATTGAGAATCTACTTTGATTAATTACCTTTTAATTTGGTTAGGAGATTTAAGAATAGATAAGATTAAACACAATAGGATTCGATTAAGAATATACTTTGGTTGAATTCATTGTGAATAATCTAGAAAGGTCTTTCATTTGATTGAGAATTTACTTTGGTTAATTGTATGATTGCCCTCAAATTAATTAAGAATGTATTTTAATTAATTCGAAACCCAAACAATAATCAATTGAACAATAATCTATGGATAATCGATGATCAATTTATCTTGGAAAAGCAGTGGAATTAGCCTATTTCATTATAATTTCTTCAAAGTTTCTCATTTGTTCTTTAATTAAACTCACAACATTCTTCAACATCAAATTCATTAGGATAGGTTTTCACTCTTATTTTTAAGCATTGCATAGCATTTACTAACCTTTTAAGAGTCTACATAAGAGTCAAGTATTGAAAAACAATTCTGTATTCGTTGGGAAACGACTCATGGTTACTTTAACCCTATCTATTTTCTTGACAACTAACTTGGCAATGTTAAAGTTGTCTTGTAAAGTAGTATTAATTTGATAGCTTCAACGACAACGTATTAGCTGCCTAGTGGAGTTTCACCCACTTGTGGTTGTGCAATATTCTTCACCACTTATGGGCACGACTTCTTATGAGGTGAACATTTCGTGAATGTCTTCTCTGTCTTTAATGCCCACTTCTAATATACTTTGAATAGAGCAAGTGGATGCATGTAATAGGTCATCTGCATAGAATAGAGTAGATTATGCATGTAATAGATATGTCTTATCTTTTATCATTTTAGTTATTCTTGAATGTTGAACATTTAATGACATTTAATGCTTGTCAGAACAACAAAGTATTTTTTATATTTTCTATCGTTGAGGTAGCGTTTATCAATTAGTT